TGGCGACACACAGTTTTCCTGTACAATTTCTTTAGGACTTGACCTTACGATCTGTTATATAACAATGTCTGGCAGATTCAAACTGTCCTTGTCTCTTCTCAGATGTATGAAACATCAAATAACTTTCTCTCTCTGTCGTTCTGTCTCCCTCTCTCCACCCCCCCCCCCCCCCCTCCAACCCCTCTCTCTCTCTTTCTCTCACGCCATCACTTTCGACCAGTTCTGTTACTTTCAGTTAGCCTGACTCAGCAGCCCGTTGGAGCTCCATGGAGTCACGGGGTTAATAAACCCTGAAGCGACTTTGCCTGTGTCGGTTAAAAAGTTCGCATTTCTTGTCTACGTTTGAAACGATATTATAACTTCTTCCCCATCCCACACAGCAAACCATTACACAGATGTACTAAAAGCTCAATGTCTTGAGATTTATTCTGCGTAAGAATGGTTCATTTCCGTGTCTTAGTTTTTGTTCTAGACAAGTGTTTTTATAGAAAACCCCATTTGTCCTATTTTTAGTTACATACTTTTATGAATAATGAATTACTGTTTATTTAAAAACGGCTTGAGTCCAAATAGCCGCTGCCAAAACCTTTACTAAAACAAACAAACGTTCTTTCTTTAGTTTCAAAAGCAGAAAATGAACGCTTTGGGTGCATTAAATGACAATTACCATTATAATATACATACAAAGATACAGCTTTAAGTACAAAAGTACCAAAAATTAAGTCAGCCCAGCCATAGCGGTAAAAGGGAGGAGCTGACCCCGTGACTCCGACGTGATGCGACGCTCGGCGAAGAACCCCGTGCTGCAACATGATATAATTCCGCTGCTGGTGCGCCATGCTCTCTCTCTTTCTCTCACTGCCCACAGACAAAATTGCACTCTTTCATTCAACTCAAGAGCACTGGAACATTTAATGGTAAGATTGTACTTTACCGGACCACCAGTAACTGCCGGTCGGAACTACTCTCACTATGGTGCCCCTAGTGCCTAGTGGTCCGCTATTCTTCCTTTCCGAGCTCCCCTACTCACTCTCCTACTCACTTTACTACGTCCTCACCCTTCGACTGCCAACTACTGACTGACGTCTCTAACCGAGTTTTTCACGACCGTGCCCTTTGACCCACAACCCTGACACCTTGAGGCTTATTGGTCAATCTAATCACGAGGTCCACTATTCTTATTATTTGCTTGCGACTCTGCTAGGCCTAGGCCTACTCCTGGTCTGGCCAAGTACAATGGAGGCCGAGAGATGCGCACGAGAGCTCATTTGCAACCCTGTTCCAACTCTAATTACCCTGATTGTTCACTTACCACCATGGTCCGCTCATTATTACTGTTTTGCATTTGAGTGTGTGTTTGTTTTTTTAATTATTGTTGCCAGGGGGGCAAATCCCCTGAAACAACCCACTGTTGTTATATATATATAGATATGTAAACACGATTAAATCATAGTCCTCTTAACTTAAACGCCATGGTCCGCTCTTGTCATTGTTTTGCATTTGTATGTGTTTTCTTTATTATTGTTTCCAGAAGCTTGCAGCCCCCCTGAACCTACCCAATCTGTGAATCACTGCATCATGGACTAAGTATCGACTTTTTTTTCAAAATGATAAATCACAGTACCAGTTTTTAAATCAGCAACAAGCCATCATGATGCATAGGCATCCAACATAGAGCTTTCCGAGGGTTGAAAATGGCATTTCCTCATTGCCACTATTCAATTTGTCCTCACTGACAAATCCGGGAAAACAAATCTTGATGATACAATCATCAAGCCTGTGCTCTAATGTTCCCTCATTTACGCACTCAATTGTCGAATGTCAAAACCACTTCTACTTATCGTTTTTATTTTAGCATCAGTTTCTTGCACCGCGGCCTTATCCTGCTGCCTTAGACTTTATTGCGTCAAACACCTCCCCTCAATTCCGAAGCCCTGCAACGCTCCAACTTTGAATGAACTTTGATTTAAACCCCAGCAACCGTCGGCCGGTCCCTTACTCATGCCGCACTCACATGATGCGAACTCGCACAGGTTCACTGACCGGTCACGATAACGGGTCCGACAATCTAGAAATCGGAGGACGCTTGGGGGGTTTTTTCTTCCTTTTTGTCATTATAGTGACATCAGTGAGAATATCTATTTAATTTGTATGGCAACACTGTCTTTTTTATGCAAAAACTGCATGTTATAAATTTTTATTAACTGTAAATCTAACGTTAACAAACTATCATCGGACAATTCTGAGCGTTATCAAAAGCGAAAGTAGACTTTGATTTTCCCGATGGAGTCTCTGTATTACACCTACACTTCCGCCATAGCCACTAATTCGCGTAAAACGTACTCTCGGACTGGGGATAGCCGAACATAATATCACAAACACAACCTGTAAAATATGAACTCAGATTTGGTTTCGAGGACTTTGTGCGTTTTCTCGGGTCTCAGCGATTTTTTTTCCAGATTCCCGGGAAATTCCCTGTAGAATCCTCAGTTGGTACTGACCAATTCTCTAGTCCTAGACATATTTTAGAATGTTTTGCTTCAATATCGATTTTCTTTCTACATTCACAATTCTGTTTTCCAGATATAAATAAATTAAATGCAGAGATTTTCCAGCCGCAGCAAAAACCCGAAGATAGACAGAAAGAAAGAAAGAATGAAAGGAAGGAGGAAGATTATTCTATCGCAAGTAAACAAGTGAAAAAGTATTGCCGACCGAACGGCATAGACAGACAATGGTCGAGTGTACGAAATGCGAAATCTGGCAGTTTCTAATCAGGGCTCCCCTTTTCAGGCCAACTTAAGAGGTTCCTTCACCCTTTGGTTTACTATTTTAAGGGCTATTTAAACCCTTGTTTTAGAAACTTTTAGGTAAAAGTCAATATCTCATAATTTTATAGTAAGATTTTTTTTTATGGCAAACAGTTAACTCGCACGCACATTCGCACAGACACACATAGAGTGACCATGACTATGATTGAATGGTTACGATTTTAATTAACTTAAGAAATAAATGATTAATATTGACTAGAATTAGAGTTGTGTCCATTTGGAGGGGGGAACAGTGGTGGTGATTGAGCAGTTGGGTCTATCAAAAATAAAATTAAGTTGACAAACCAAAAGGGGTCAACTTCAACTATAATACTCCAAGAAAAATAGACCTGCCACTCTATGAAATCTAAAAGTCAGGATCTCAGGGGGGAAAAAAATTGGGACTTGGTGAAAAAAATCGGGATCAACGACAGATCACCTAGGTCACTGCCAAGCTGACTTTAAAAAATTCCAGGTGTGTCCATTACTATATCCATGTTACTCCCTCTGGGCGTGTGCCTATGTGTGTTTTATCTTTTTTTTAGTCCTGAAGTATCATGTCACGGTCTTCTTCTAGTCCAAATGTTTTACACGCCCCCCCCCCCCTCGGATAAGTCCCGAAAGACACTTCAACCAGTGTGCATAAACATAAATTGCCCCGCCAACGACGGTCCCCGACACACGCGGAACTCACACGCCGAAGTCATGTCAGGTGGTGCGAACGTGCAACTGAAAGAGTTACACTGACGGGTCTTGATGACGGGCCCGACTAACCAAAACTCGGACAAAGCATGTTTCGGCGAAAGTAGATCTTGAGAATGTCTTAAGTCAGAATGCCAAATCAATACTGCTTCCAATCCATTATAGTTGAAAAAACACGTGTGAGCAAAGATCCAAGACAACTTTTTTGGTGAGTCAACTACTAAATTCGACATATAGACATTTAGGAAAATAGTGCTCCGAGTTTCTAGAGACAAAAAGTTCAACGAGTGCTTCCCACGACAGAAAAGAAGGCAAGAGTAAGATTTTAGAAAAATCCGGCGCAACAGGCGGAACAAAAAATTAAACCAAAAAAAATCTGGGATCCTGCGATGAAAATCGGGAAAATCGCCATGCTTGAGATTTAGGGCAGGGATGGTGGTAGAACAGGCCAAAAATCGGTATCTACCGGAAAATCGGTAAATTTAGGCAGCCCTGACCACCCCTTGACCTCGCCTCGCCGCTGGCTTGCGTTCTGCACGTAGTCGCCCACGCCGGAACTACCTTCTGTCCACACGTAGAGAACTATGAGTGCGTAGTTAGGCGAGGCGCGCGTAGTAATCACAGGCCCAGAAGGGTGGTCCAATAAAGTACAATCCAGCCCATTTGTTGGCACTCCTGTACAATTGCGGTCCCGTGTAGAGAAACTCGTTTTGACCCTACCTACGATTACTTCTGGTTCTAAACCATTACTTTTTGATGCGCGATAGGCCTATGGAGAGATAGCCAATTAAACCGTAAAACATCAAATTATGGTCAAATTCCCCCCATATTTTTGTTAGGTGTGGTCAGGGGGGGCAAGCCCCCCTGAAACTTCCTTTGCCTTGTACTTGTATACAAGTGAAATTTTACTGCTCATTTTGTAGGCAAGATCTACTCAACTGATAAAACATCGATACCGAACACTTTAACTTTAATCAGTGGTATCAATCCCGTAGTCTTTGCATTGTGATTTAGTGCTAGATCTTCCAGGACCGCAATTGTACAGGAGTGCTCATTTGTTTACACTCATATTAGGCACAGTCACTCGTCATGCGCAAACACAAGTATAAATTATTTATTATAAGGTCGCGCCTAAGTTTCGCCCGGACTTGAGATTACATACAATTGGAACATCTCTTGGTCTTGGTAGTAGATTTGAGTACTGCTAACTGTAAACTACTAGAGAGACTAGATCTAGATTTAGATCTATATCTAAATCTAGAGTCTAGATCTAAAAACTATAACTTATTTAAACTTAATTAAATGCTCATTTATTTAGCCTACTAAAAAACTAATCACACCAATCTCGCTTCTGAACTGCTAGACTTTACTGTTTACAATTCCTTCAACACAACAATAGATCTCTAGAATCTAGATTCTAGATCTAGATCTAGATCTAGATCTAGAATCTAGATCTATAACTTTTGAACTTTGATTACTTTTTCCTACTTTTGAGTGCGTATTCCGTGTGCAATGTTGACTGTCCATGCAAAGAAAGTTTGTCCTTTAAAGAGGCAGCAAACTGCAGATGAAGAAGCAAACAGCAAACAACAACATGCAACAAGGAGGCCTCTCTTTTTTCTATCATCACATACAAACACTCAAACACAATACACAATACACAGTAACACAGGCCTCGGTGTCATGTGACCTGTGTGTGTATTTCCACGATGCTTTTAAACATCTAATAATATCCGCTTGATGTATCCAAACCATTGATTTAAACTACTACTAAAAATCGCCTGATAGATTCTTGTAACAATTGCAAAACTCAATTGAGGGCATTTATTTTGTTATTCAAGCATCGGGGACGAAAAAAAACCCACAAACAAAATGAAACATAAAATAAAAATTATGTATTTTCAACGATAGGCCTAGTGTATTATTGGGTCTCTCGTCTCTCACAGTCAGCTGATTGTAAACTACAAGGGGACAAAACTCTGGTGGTTTGTTGACATTTGACTACAGACGGGCCAATGAAAAAAAAGTTTGTTGACCTGATGCCTGATGATAAGAGCTGGAACTTCGGAGCCTACTTTGTGACCTGGGATGACCTGATAAAGAACATAGGCTTTCCCTTAGAAAATAGAAATCTGTCGTGCGGGCTGGCAAGATGGTTCCTGCACGTTGCCTTTCGTGTCGAAAGCTGTTGCCTTTGATTTACAGTTACAGAATTCACAATAAAAGTATTTTGGAAAATGCGATTCCAAACTCGCGGACGCTCATCCGAGGACTTTCCAGCATTTCGTCAACTCCGGTCTTCTCTGAGCGAGCTTATGTTAAGAATTTAAGATTGGCAAATCTTTCTTTCATTAATAGATCTGGATACAAATCGAGACCAAATTCTCATCTATTAGATCTATCCTACGTTTCAGGACTTAGTCTTGGCTTCGGTTCCAAATGCAGTTTGCACACTTCTTCGCGCTCATGTTCGAGTAATGTTGCATTAACAAGTGACCGCTATCCTAACTTAGAACGAGGGCCTTTTGCTGTTTTAAATGAACAAGATATTGCTTACTTTGAGCAGCTTATACCTGGGTATGTGATCACAGATCCAGATGAGCTCCAAGCATACAACACTGACTGGCTCAAAACTGTCAGAGGTAACTGTATCTCTGTATTTTATTCTACATTTTGTTTTCATCAGGTTTTAATCTGTCTTTGTGGTGTGGGTGGTTGGTGGGTGCTCTGGCGTCGTTTGCTTTTTGTTTCCTATCAAATATCTAGACTTTTAGATCTTTAGTCTTTATCTCTCCTCCTTCTTTTTCTGTGTTTGTTACTCTCTTGTAATCTTCGGTACTTTTTTTGTGTTGCCAGAGCCGTAAAACACTCATACTAAAACAAAATCTGTCATTGTCCCAAATGAAGATATATTTTTGTACAGCATCAGTTCTTGTAGCTCTCACATCCTTTTATTCGTTTAGTTCTCACTCATAAAATAATCATATTAGAGTCTATGTGTCAAAATACGATGGAATCTGACGCTCATAATTTTTGGGCGTACAGATCTAGATCTAGATCTTAAATTGCTCTTATCTATATTAGATATCTTATGAAGTCAGTCATTGATCATCTTTAAGCTGTTCATTTGCCTGATAAATTTTTACTTTCTTTCACTCTTGCGCACAGATCATGCACTGCTTTGGGGGTCAAACTGCTGAATTTTTTACTTCTTTTTAGTTGTAGTTTTAGTAGGGGTTTTACAGCGCTCAAGATCGCAACTGCAAGGTCATATGAGCGCCAAGGAGTGGATGTCAACAGAGAAGTCCTTACACAACTTACAGTGAATCAGACTTACTCTGCTCCTCTCTCTAGCTTCAACAGCACAAAGTCAGCTTCGACTCTCAAGGCTCCCCGGAAATAGCAGGAAATAGCGGGTCATAAGAGTGTGACAAACATGCAAAAGAAGTAGAGGAAAATGACAATAATAAGGAGTAGGAAAGAAAAAGCAGCAGTTCCCAGTTGTAGTCCAGGCACAGTTATATGAGCATGACATTGTTGGATCAGCCCATTTACAATTCTACTGTGCATTAGAAAGAGAAATGTCCCCCCTTTGGGAATGGCCTGAAAACTCTCCAGTGGGTCCAAAATCTATGCTACGGCGGTCCCCCAGGCAAAATTCAAAATTAATTCCTACCAAACTAAAAAAAATGCTTATAATTTGTACGGTGCGCTCATTTGACCTTTTATGCAGTTGCAAGTGCCGTAAATATTTCCAAAAACAAAAAAATTGCAGTTTTCAGGCTATATTTTATAACCTGAACTTTCTCCCACAATTATAGGTGCAAGTAAAGTTCTCCTGAGACCCAAAAAGACAGAAGAAGTTTCTGCCATTGTCAAGTATTGTTATGAGCGAGGGCTGGCAGTCGTTCCACAAGGGGGCAACACTGGTCTGGTCGGAGGTAGTGTGCCAGTGTTTGACGAGGTTATCATCTCCACACAGCTCATGAACGAGATCAGAAGTCTGGACCCCATCTCAGGTAAGATGTCAGAAAAATGCATCAAGGAGCCTTCCAGAAAGGTTAGGCACAGAGATCTTAATGCTGTTAAAATAAGAAAAAGAGGTCAGTTGTGTGAAGAGGAAAGAAGGACATTGACACTGGAAGATGATATCATGTCTCTGCTCACCCTCTTAGATCTGTGTTACTAAAAAAGCTGTTTGTTTTTTTAAAGAATAGAAATAAAAATAATAATAGGGAATGGCTGTTAAAAGATTTCAGCAGGAATGTTTTTATGCCTCTGTGACTGTGTCTTGAAACAAAGGTTGTAGCCTTGTACAGAGAGGCTGAATGTTTAGCTGACCAGGAGGAATTATTCAAGCGTTATAGTTGAAAAAATCAATGAGTCGATTAAGAGGATTCACAGTGCCAGGATAGATCATTGTGTAGATCAATGATAATGTGCAAGGATGTGTAATATTATGTAGAGCACAACAGTGTCTGACAATGGTGTCAAATGTTGTGTGGCACAATGATTTTATGTTGTGGTTTACAACACAGTGATAGCTTGTAATGATGCATAGCTTACACTTATGTACTCGATGTACCAGCATGCACTCTTATCCTCACATCATCATCATCATCTCTCCGACTCCCATCTGTTCAGGTACCCTAGTTTGTCAAGCAGGCTGTGTACTTGAGACCTTGAACCAGTACGTTCAAGGTCATGATCTTACCATGCCGTTGGACCTGGGGGCCAAAGGAAGTTGCCAAATCGGGGGAAATGTGTCCACCAATGCTGGAGGTATTCGTCTGCTCCGCTATGGCTCTTTGCATGGCTCTGTGCTGGGTCTGGAGGCGGTGAGTAGTTGTGTTATACTGATGGTGTTGTGCTCTAATCCTACTACTGGAAGAACTAGGTCAACTAATTATTTGCGGCAGTTGATCTCCTGGTTCTCAGTAAAAATTTCAGGAATCGGCATGCACTATAAATAGTACAAAAATACTGTGGGCCAACTTTCGTGTCCTCTCTTGTCATTTAAATCAGAAGGTTAAATATTGGGGAGTTTCAGAATTTTCTAATAAGAGTTACCTGGAAAGAGCATGACCTCATTGATATCAATTTCTGAATTTGCCTCATTGTGTCTCAGCGTTTTTCTGTGTATTTGTGTCTCAGTTTATCTTACAGTATATTTCTATGTCATCTCTGTGTCTTATTATGACTTAAAATGTCGACTTTGCTCTGATTGCTCTATATGTGAAGTGACACAAGAGTGCTTATGACAATGACAATGACAATCTACAGGAGGCGGTGAGTAGTTGTGTTATACAATCTTTATCTTATGTTTCATTAGACATTAGAACTTCCTTGAATCTAGTTGTGTCAGGGTGGGTGCTGAGTGGTAGGGTGTGTTGGACACCGCGCACCGGCAGTGGAATTTTAGTTGCCGCGGGGGG